CCGCCTCACACTTTCATTTGGCTATAAATCAGATCAATTAATGGTGGGCTCCGTGCACGATCTAGGATAACATTATTGTACAAGTCAATGGTACAGAATCACATGCCCGCGGAGATGTTAAGGTGCTTCCCTGCTGATGACGTAGATCTATATCCTACCTGCATCTTGCAAACAAATCATCGTTGACTGATTGAACATGTTTTTCGCCTGCTTTTATCATGAACAGCTGGGTCTAATTTAAGGTTTTCTCTAATTAAACTACTACTTCTGCTTATTCTGTATTCTCTTTACTTTTCTCTAATACCTGACGTTTTGACCAATACTTACAATTGTACACACCTCGAGTGAAGTAATACATAAATGTTTTTATCGTACTGTTGTCATGCTCTCGTATCTAACGCACAGTTTGCTCAATTTATGCAAATTCAATAAATAATGAATGGACATTCGAAAACAATTCCAGATTCATAAGGTGGTTTTTTTGCGTTTGTATTGTGCAGAAATCCTCTCTTATTCTCAAAGTAAAAAGTTTGTTTGTTTTGTTTTGTTTTGTAAGTGTTTTACGGCGCTCGCAACTGCATAAGGTCATATGAACGCGAGAGACAAATCAAATATTTTCAGATTGGCAGGAAATTTTGAATTTTGCCCTAATGGCGGCCAAAGCCTACTCCGATCGATTTTGGGCCATCAAGGGATCTTGAACGTGTGCAAATTGCACGCGAGAACTTAACCGAGACGGCTACGTGTTATATCTTACTTACCATAACACCGGGAGTGTGGCTGAAAGACAACAGTAAGTAGGAGCCAAGGAGTAGCAGTAGAAAGAGTCAGGAGCCTAGAGGAGAGGGCAAATGAGATTGGGGTGGGGGTGGGAGCAGAATGTGGAGACCAAAGCAGACCACAGAACATTGTTAGAGAGCAGAAGAGGAGGTGAAAGGAGTTTATTTTAAAGAAAAAAAAGTTTCCGTCAGTATCCGGATTCGAACCTGAGACCTATTGAATGAGATGCGAACACCGTAACCTCTCGGCCACGGAAGCCCCCATGTATGGGTTTAAAACCCCTACGCACACAGTAGGCTTTTTATTTGGCGTAACCCCCGAATGAACCATCCATCTCCGATAAGACTGGTGCCAAGTGGGTTGAGAGCCCTAAAAACTCCTCAAAACTGCCCAAGTCCAAGAAAGCCGGGTCGGGGATTCGAACCATGACCACTTGCTCCAATGTCTAGCGTGATACCAACTGAACTAACGGAGCACCCTTTATATTCCCATTCAATAAAACTTTATCTATTTTATTACACCAAATATTTCAATAGAAATACGCATATTATACATGAATTATTATGTTTGAAAACTACAGTTCCCTTTCGACACAGCTTAATTTTGTTTTAGGATACAGGGTCTGCCGACAGGCGTCAGTGGTTTAATTTAGATTCATATGTACTAAGTTCGATTCCTGAATGGGGAGAAATTTTTGTCAATCTATTTCATGGGATGTTGTATCCCAACAACAATAGCGACAACAATAACAGCAACAACGACGACAACAATAACGACGACGACAACAACAACAACAACGACGACAACAACAACAACAACAATAACAACAACAACAACAACTAACTCGTAGTGTATTACTGTCTGTCTGTCTGTCAGCCACACCAGCACACAAACACACACACATGCACACACACATAACGACCACACACACACACGCACTCTCTCTCTCTCTCTCAAACACACACACACACACACACACACACACACACACACACACACACACACACACACACGGCACAGGGAAGAAGGAGATAACCAAGATATCCCGGACGCCAGAGCAATGGTCAAGTTGACCTCACACATAAGGGCTCTGAGAACGTTTCAAGAGCCAGCTGTCCCCATAAGAGCCGCGCAGTAGTCTAGAGAATAATCTCATGTGTGGCGTTAATCTCCCTTCATATAGCAGGTCAGTGTGGTGAAAACCTCTTCAGAGGCCCGCAAGAGGGGCGAATAAGCGGGATCTTGGCCATAGACTTGATATAATCAAAGATCGTTATGTACAATCTTTGTTATAAGATAATACACAAGACTAGGCACTGTTTTGGCCGCCACTCTTTGCTTTCTATTAGGTCCAAATAGGTTATAAATAAAACTATTGTAACCTCTTTGATTAGGCCTAAATTTAAAAAACAACAACAACAACTTCGCTTCGCTGGTGCGCACCAATGCCATGGATGCGCAAATGAAGAGCAAAACCAAAGATAGTACAAGACAAGATGGGCCACTTCTCTCTTTGAGCCAATTTAAAAAGTGTCCTCAAAATTTGGTGGCGCC